ACCTCTACGCTCTACATGATTGCATGTGGATGGTGCTTGAGGATGGACCCTTGAAAATCCAAATGGAGAATCCTGAGAGGAATCCAGCAACTCCAGATGTAGTCCAGTACATTCCAAAGCCCAAGGAAAAATGGGATGATAGAGATTGCAAAAAGCACAATCTGGACAACGTCGCCAAAGCAGCCATCTTCAAGACACTTGATCCCATCACCTTCTCCAAAATCAAGCATCTCAAGACTGCCATGGAGATATGACAAGGTCTTGGGAAGCTATGTGAGGGATCAGATTACCTGAGAAAGCAGAAGATAGAAGTCCTGCTTGAAAAGTTTAAAAGCTTCAAAATGCTTCCCGGAGAATCATTTGATATGTTGGATGAAAGATTCCACAAGATATTGAATGATCTTGCATCACTTAACCACGCTCTTTCTCCCAAAGAAAAGAATGTAAGGTTGCTGAGATCACTTCCAACTGAGTGGTACACCAAAGCCACAGCCATGAAAGAAGGAAGAAACCTGGAGAACTACACTGTCCAAGGTCTCCTTGACGAGCTCAGAACCTATGAGCACGAGCTGAAGAAGAAGAAGGAATAAGAACAAGTCACTCCCTTCCCCACGGCATTGATGACAACTCCAAGAGTCCCATCAAGTGAAGGGACATGCCCAAGAAGCTGTGACACACCTTCCTCCAGCCAGCCGCCAAGCTCAAAATGGAGAACTACGATGAGGAATTTGCCATGATGGTCAAGCAATTCTGGAAGTTCAAGAAGTTCTTCAAGAAGGCTGATTCAATCAGAAGGCCAACCAAGGGAAAGCCACAAGTAAGTGACTCCCCTCCTGAATCTTATTTATGTTATAACTGCAGAAAGCCTGGCCACTGGAAGTCAGCATGCCCGTACCCAAAGGTGGAGAAGTACGGAGAAAGAGAAAGGAACGAGAAGAAAAAGAAGGCAATGGTTGCTGCTGAAAGCGATGAATCATCCCGCTCAAGCTCGGATGAAGAAGCCCTCGTTTGCATGAAGCGCAGAGCTGAGAAGTCCAACCATGAGGACAGGTGGACTATGTTAGAAGATGGCACTCTCTGCCTAATGGCCAAAGATGATGCTGATCAAGAGGAAACCTCACAAACCTCCTGCTCATCTTCTGATGAAAGCATACTAACTTCTGAAAATCTTTTTGACCAGTTCAAGAAGATGATGGAAGATTTTGAGGAAATAAATCTCAAACACTCATCCTTAACAGAAGAGAACAAGTTGTTAAGTGAAGAGAATCTCAAATTGACTGAAGGTCGGAAAAGTCAACTAAATGAGATCACTCAACTTAAAACTGAAAATGAATCTCTCTCTGAAAAGGTGAAATCCCTTAATAAAGAGCTAGGGATACTTAAGTCCAAAGAAGCAGTGGATAAGCTTCTTGAATCGACCAAACATAAGGGTCGTGAAGGACTTGGGTTTGACCCCTCCAGTTCCAAAAGGAAAGGAAGAACAACTTTCATCCCTCCTAAACCTACTGCCAAACCAAATAAGCAGAAAGGAAAGGAAAAGGAGAAACCAACAGAAGTTCCCAAAAAGGTAGTCCCTCCTAAAAACTTTAGGAAGCTGGACAGACCTCAAAGAGGAAACAATTTCAGAAGAAAACCCTCTAACCCCCACTATACATGAGGCTATACTCATTATGGGGTAGATAGGAGTTTTCCAAGAAATTCTGAGTGGAAAACTATGCCAAGATATAGTCACCCTCCACCCCAGAAATTATTTGTGCCACCTAAGTATGCTTATAACCGACACAGGCCACACTATGCACAACCTAGACAAAACTATAGGTCTTATCAACCTAGGTTTGCTAGGAGGAAACATGAAATAGCACCTCCTGCACGTAGGAAGTTTTATGCCTATAACTATGATTACAATCCCAACAAGTTTAGAGCTGCAAGGAAAATTCCCTGCACCTTCAAACTTGATGTAGGGACACACACCATTAACTATTCCGGACCCAAACTGAATTGGGTACCAAAATCTTCCTCCTCCTAATGCAGGAAGCCGCTAAGTACCCAGGTGTCTGGTACTTAGACAGTGGCTGTTCAAGACACATGACGGGTGATGCGAGCCTTTTGAGCAATCTAATTCCCTATGATGGTCCAAGAGTTACTTTTGGAGGAAGCAATGATTTTGGCCTTACTAAAGGGCTAGNGTCTGGAAACTTGTTCCCAGACCTACTCATCAACATGTCATTGGGACAAAGTGGGTCTTCCGGAACAAGATGGATGAAAACGGCGTTGTTGTCAGAAACAAAGCCCGGTTAGTTGCAAAAGGATATTGTCAAGAAGAAGGTATAGATTTTGATGAAACCTTCGCTCCAGTTGCTAGACTTGAAGCTATAAGGCTGTTTCTAGCCTTTGCTGCTCATAAGGACTTCAAAGTCTATCAAATGGATGTCAAAAGCGCATTTCTCAACGGAAACCTCGAAGAAGAAGTTTATGTGGAACAACCTCTAGGATTTGAGTTACACACTAAGGGAGATCAAGTGTATAGACTCAAAAAGGCGTTGTATGGACTCAAACAAGCACCAAGAGCTTGGTATGATACATTGTCTCAATTTCTTATAGACAATGGATTTACCAAAGGAGTCATTGACAAGACATTGTTCAAACTACAAGATGGTGAAGATCTCTTATTGGTCTAAATCTATGTGGACGACATCATATTTGGCTCAACTAAGGAAGATCTATGCACCAAGTTCTCAACCCTCATGCAAGGAAAATTTGAGATGAGCATGATGGGAGAACTCAACTACTTCCTTGGCCTTCAAATCAAACAGAGAAGCGAAGGAACTCTCATCAACCAAGCGAAGTATACAAGGGATCTTATCAAGAAATTCAAAGTTGATCAGAAGTCATCCGTTTCTGTCCCCATGAGTACATCCACCAAGCTTGATATGGATGTAGATGGAAAGGATGTAGATCAAACTCTCTACAGAGGAATTGTCGGATCTCTACTTTACCTTACTGCAAGCCGTCCGGATATCTAATATGTTGTAGGTGTTTGTGCCAGATTCCAGTCAAAGCCAAAGGAAAGTCATCTGATAGCAGCTAAAAGAATTCTTAGATACCTCAAAGGAACTCGGAACATGGGTTTGTGGTATGCTAAGAGCGATTCATTTGAGTTAGTAGGATACTCAGATTCTGACTTTGCCGGATGCAAAGTTGACCGGAAAAGTACATCTGGTACTTGTCAATTCATAGGTGGAAATCTTGTTTCTTGGTTCAGTAAGAAGCAAAACTCCATTTCTACATCAACAGCAGAAGCAGAGTACATTGCTGCTGGTAGTTGTTGCGCTCAAATTTTGTGGCTAAAACAACAACTACTGGACTATGGAGTCAAGACAAAGGAAGTAACAATCTTTTGTGACAATCAAAGTGCTATAGCCATCTCTCAAAACCCAGTGCATCATTCTCGCACTAAGCACATTGATGTCAAGCATCACTTCATCAGAGATCATGTGGAAAAGAAAGATATCAAAATTGAGTATATCTCAACTGAAGAACAACTGGTGGATATCTTCACAAAACCACTAAGTGAAGCCAAGTTTTCCGATTTGCTTCACAAAATTGGTCTAATTCAATTAGACTGAGTGCGGTACACGTGGCAGTTCACTTTCCACGTCTGTCAAAATATTGGGTAGGCACGTGGCCTTGGGAATAGTCAAAAACCCAATCGCCACTAGCCGCAAAATCGCCTAAATTAATCCAAATCGCCACCACTCAGATCTCAACCGCCCACTCAAAAATTTTTTCGTCGTCTTCTTCGCGAAAAACTCTCAAGAACACGCAAGAACCCTAGGTCTTTCTCTCTCAAATTCTCACTCAAATTTCTGAGAAAATGAAGGTTGTCGGCGCAAATGTTCACTTCCAGAAGTTAGAAGCCAAGTGCTCTTCACAGACATTCTTTGAAAGCTATCTGGAGATGATAGCCGCTCAAGAACTCTCCGAATTTCTTCAAATGGAGATTCGCCTCAAATTTGAGGAAGAAGTTCTTGAATTCTACAGAAATGGAGAAGTCAGGACTGATCATTCAAAGAAGGACCCACAGAGGACGTTTCCAGTCATCAAGTCCACTGTTGGAGGTACAAAAGTGAAGCTTTCGCAGAAGAAATTAGGAGAAAAGCTTCGCCTTCCCAATTCAGGAGTTGAAATTGGGAAATTTCCAGTCAAAAATCTGGACTGGAACATCATTGGAATCTCTGGGCAAATTCCTTCTGGCCCGGCGAAGAAAGCAGATCTAAACAATGATTACAAGTTGGTTTTTGAACTGGTCATCGCTTGCCTCGAGTGTGGAAGTGGAGGTCATGCCGATGACATCACCCAGGAGAGAGCCTTCATCATCAACTCTCTCATTACCAAAACTAAGGTAAACTGGGCTGCACACTTTTTCAAATCCATTTAAAAACATCTAGGAAAGCACAATCAGAAGTATCTCTGTCAAGGTCTGTATATTGGACGTATTTTGGAATCTATGGGCGCTGCAGTTAAAGGGAAAAAGTATGAAGCCAGATACTGGCTATACTACTTATCCTCCAAAGGAGAAAACAGAGCTAGTACTAGTGCCACTGCAGAAGAAAGCTCATCAGACAATGTTCCACTCATCAATTTGGCAAAGACTGCCAAGAGAAAGCATGTGGTGTCTCCCTCTCCAAGTGTTGAAGCACCACAGAACCTTGCTTTGATCTGTTTGGAAGAGGAAGAAGAAGTCTCTGACCATGGAGAACTTCAAAGGAAGAAGAAGAGGAAGATCAACTCTCCATCAACATCTGGAAATGTCCCGGATGAGTTGAAGGAGAAGGAACCTGCTGAGGAAACCTCTGCCCAAAACCGGAGCCCTCAACAACTTGAAGAAGAAACTCCTCAAGTCCAAAGCCTTCCAACCTCATCACCTCAACCTCAAATAGATGATGCAAATAATACCAATTCTGGCAGCTCTACTATGATTGGAAAGCCTGGAAAGTTGGAAATTCAGCAGAGCAAGTGTTGAATTGGGACCAACAACTGAAGAATGAGAAGATCATCAAGAAGTGCTTAGGAATACCAGTCAACCACACCTGTGAACAAATTTTGGATGACTACTGGGTATGGCAAAGGAACCCTGAAGACTTGCATCTGGAATACCTGACCAACACACCAGTTTCAGACTTTGAAGCAGATGATGAAGATCCTGCAGTCTTCAAGCCAGTCTTCTCAAAAGGCATAGAAGATTAAGTGGTTCTCACTTCTGAAGCACAAGGTGTTTTGGAAGCAGCAGCTGAAGATTTCCAAACACTTCCGGAAACCTCACATGCTTCTGAAATGGTTCTAACTGAAGAGAAGGCAACCTCTCCCCTACTAGAACAGAACCACAAAACAGCAGAAGAAGAAGAATTTCAGCAACTGGGTCAATCTCAAATTCTTGAGATTCTCACAACTGCATGTGAGATCTCCCATCCTAGAGAAATTGAGGTCCCGGAGAAGTCAACAGAAATTCCGGAACAGTCAGCTCTCCTAGAAACAATGGAGCAAGCTGTTGAAGCGCAAAGGAATTCTGGAGAAGCTGAAAAGGAAACTCAAATGGCAGAACTAGAGGTCTCTCAAACTCCAGTAGCCATTTTTGAAGAACAGAATGCAGCTGAAGAAAGAGACTCCCTCTCTAGGGATATATCAAATTTTGCGCTTGATGCAGCAGAAGGAGAGTCTGAAAGAACACTGAAGGTTACTGATGAAGAAGATGTACAAGAAGATGCTGAATCTCTTCCTATGCAACTCTTCCAAAGAACACCATCCTCTCATCAGGTAACCAATTTTCATTTTCATAGCTCTTCCACCCCTACACTTCCGGATATTGTACCGGAAATCTGGACAAAGAAGGTCCAAGGGCTGATTGAATCAGCCCTAGAATCTCAACATGCCTCCTTTAGGCAAGAAATAGAGCAAATGGAAGTCAGGTACACCCAGCTTATAGATAAATCTGAAGAGAAACACAGCGCAGATCTCAAAGAAATAAGCAAATCAGTGCACAAGACTCTGGAGATTATCTCTCTATTGAGTGAAACTGTGAGCAACACGATGGAAATATATGCCTCTGACAGTCAACTTCAACTCAAAGAGATCAACAACGTCAAGGAGCAAATAGCGAGTGTCACAGTTGGTCTCCAAAAATAGATGTCCCTTCTCCAAATGGACATCAGATCAGCCCTAGCAGTAGCTTCTGCAAATCAGGTAGTGACCAAGGACTACTTGAAGGTGATCATTGACAATCAAAAGGAAGCATACAAGCTGTTCAGACTTATTGGCACAAATGCAGGAAACCGCAAGATGGAAGTGATTCTCCAACAACATAGTCCATCTCCAATACCACAGCTCCCTATTGCAGTCAAAGAAGGAGAAGTATCTTATATTCCTTCTCATCTGAACATGACAAATCTAATCCTTGAAGCACTGCAAAGAAATCCGGAAAACTCAGCACAGCATCTATCCAGCTCAGGACTGGATGGAACAGAATTTATAGGTACAGTTGTTGATCACTTCTCAAATGATGCTCAATCAGAAGAAAGACGCAACAACCTAAGGCGCATCAAAGAACTATGTGGAAACATGAAGGGCATCAGTGAGGTTGCCGGATCTTCAAAGCGCAAGAGAAACTGAAGGTTCTTTTCATCAAACCAGGGGGAAAGTATGTGAATACACTAATTTGTTTTGATGAAAACACCTTCTTGTTTAAACATTGCTTGATCGGTTTAAACATTGCAACATTGCTTCAACAATTTTCTTAATTGTGCTTATTATGCTTGATTATGCTTATCTCAAGTATGATTTTTTTAAAAAAATTCTAAAGTGCATAGATTCAGGAGGAATGTAATTCAGGGGGAACATAACTAGTTTTGGCTAACAATTGTTTTTGGCAATGAATTATTGATGAGCTCTAAGCAATGGAAGACGGATATCTCAGTTTTGGTACTAAAATTGGAAATCTCCGATTCAGGTACTTTACAAAATTTGCCTTCTTAAACTAAGCTTTAATCTTTAATTCATTTCCAACTAGCTCTAAAAGTACTGGTCCTTATGATTTTTATAATGTACAGGACTTTGGAATAATAGTACCACTTTTCTTTTAAAATTAAAATTCATATTTGTTTTGGTACTACCTCATCCTATTTAGAAATTAGAACTATAGGGAATGAAAAATGATAATTTTATTTTGGGCCTTGAGAACCCAATAGGAATAATTTCCCTTTAGTACATAGCTTTCTTTTCTTTTTGGGCCACTCTTTTGGGCTTAGCCAAACTAAATCAGTTACGTTTCTCAAACCAAACGAAACTGATTTTCTAAATTGGAACAGTTTCAATTCATTGGTAACTTGTAAAAGATTCCTTCTACTTTTCAACTTCTTGGAAGTTGAAACTCCTTTACTCTCACCGTTCCAACTACTCACTTAAATGGAACCCGTGAACCTCCTCCTCCCCTATTTAAATCAAGACATTCCAATCCATTTCCATCACAAACAACTCTCTCAATATGAAAGTCCTCAAGTTCACTGTCTGAGAAAAACACCAAGAAAATATCCTCAATGGAGAAATTTTTCTTTCTCACCCTCATAGACGGCAATGGAGAAAAGCCTAGTGAGAAGGAAAGTAATTCAAAGTTTATGGTGCAATTCTCGGTAGTAGAGAAAGTTTATGGTGTAATTCTCGTATTTTTCAGGATTATACCATACACTTTCTCTGGAACAACACTCTCTCTATTTTTCTTTTTATTTTTACCTTGATCTCTTTCCCCTCCCCTTTCCTTTCTTTACTCTTTCTAAACTTTTTATTTTTGGACAGTCTCTGCACCCTTCTCTCAAGCATTTTCCTCAAATCTTTTCTGTGCAGAACCTGATCTCTTTCTCAAATATTATTTTTTAAATTTTTTATTCCCTTCATCTTTAAATTTTTTTGAGCAGTCGCCACACTCTTCTTACAAGTTTTTTTAAAAATTTTTTCTGCTGCCTCTGCTCCCTTCTCCCAAGGAGTTCTCAAAATCACTTTTTCAATTTGTTTTATTCTAAAACTCTTTTTTCAAAAATTTCTTTTAAATTTTTTTTTGTTTTTGCCTTCATCTTTAAAAACCTTATTTTATCTTTTTCACAATCAATTCTCTTTTCCAAAACCTTTCTTTCTTGTCTTTCTACATTTTCTTTTTCTTTCATTTTTTGTTCTTGTTTTTGCTTTTTGAGAGATGTGTTGCTTCCAAGATCTTGAATATCCACTTTGGATATTAAAGATCTATCAAACGCAACGCCAACCGCTCCGCCAAGCAGAATCTGCTGAAGCTGAAAACGGTCAATGGCGGAAGATATCACAAAATCTCAATACAAGACTTGGTTTAGGAATTGCTGTAATTTGAATTGTATCTGTTTAAGAGTTTTTGTTAACAAGCTGTATGTTATGAGAAACTAAAAGAAAGTTATAAAATTAGTTCTCAGTACAGCGATCGGAACTCTTAAACACTTGTTTGTCATCATCAAAAAGGGGGAAATTGTTGGGAAAAATATTATAGATTTTGATGATGATGTATTTAGAATGTAATAGGGACTCTAGGTCTCCCCCAATATTCAATGTAATTTTTCTTTTTAGAAATATTGTTAAAACCGAGTTCTTGAGATTTCCAATAAAGTTATGATATTTCTTTAAGCGTTTTGATGCCTGAAGACTTAATCAAATTCAGTGATATGGAAATTGGATATTTTGATCGGAAATGTCAGAGACAAGTAAGGATTTCTCAAGCAGATGAAAATCCTCTGATCCGGAAGACTACATAAGAACCAGATGTCTCGCTAGAACCCGCTGAAGGCTAAGTCATCCAAATCAGAAGACTAGCGCGGATCTCTTTCTCACCCGGAAGTCTGAGAATGACTCCTCCGGATTTGTCAGCTAAGAATCGGAAGACTCATTGAAGACCGGAATTCTCAGAAAGCGGACAAGTGAGAAAAGACTTAGAAAATTATCTAAGTCTTGAATGAAGAAATTCTACCCGTTGGTAAGGAAAAATCAATCTCTTGATTTTCAACGGCTAGATTGAAGACAATTATGCTGATTCAAGAACAAATGACTCGAAGACAAAGTCTGGACCTCTAAAATTGAAGAGCCTGTCCAGAATTCCTAAACAAGCACTAGAAGACAAACAGAGTAAAGTGCTACAGTCTTGAATTCTTGAACAACAGCTAGAAGACGGATTCTGTGGAAAAAGGAATCCTTTCTCAACAATTGGGTACGTCCAAACACCCACTTCAACAAAGAATCTTCAAATCACAATCTTCATTCAAAATTGAAGCCAGCAAATGCAACGGATAGTCTATTATGATTCAACGGATAGATTATCCAATCCAGCTATAAATAGCA